ATTCACTGTTTTGGGCTTAGCTGTAACTTTAGTGTATTCTGTATTCTTTTCTCTTTTTCTTTCTTTTATGAGGCTCTTAGTGACTCTTGGAAGATAAGTGTGTTTGTCTTCCTCCTGTAAATTTTCTACTGATGATTAATGAAAGTGTTATTGATCAAAAAAAAATAAATAAATAAAGAAGGGATTATCATTGTGCTATTTTGTGGTCCTGTGGGAGTGGAAGATTTTAGGGCGGAATTACTTGCAGCTATGAGAGGGGCACAAATAGCAAGTGAGATGGGCCTAATAAATGTGGAGGTTGAAGGGACAAAACTGGTGATAGGATGGCTGAAGGATCCAGAGTCTATAATCAGGTGTTTTAGGGATGAGATGAAAAGGTTTAGATGGATAACCAGAAACATGAACGTGAAAATCTCTTGGATTAGGAGAACAACTAGTGCTATGACAGATGGGTTAGCTAAACAAGGGGTAAATAGGGACAGCTTGTATCGGGCTTAGTTGTAATTGATATGTCACTATCTTTTTAAATTTTTGTGCGAGAGGTAACACCTCGTGCCTCTCTGTGGGATGCTTGTAATGCCTATTCTCCTTGATATTCAATAAATACTTTGTTTACTTTACTTATAAAAGAAGTCCCTTTTGAGGTAGCAACCTAATAAAAATCTGGAAAGTTGGCCTTTGTTGCATCCCCATGGATCAAATATTACCCCAGAATATTGTTCTTTATCCCTTTCCCACATTGGAAACCTTGGATTGTTTAGATCATAATTCTTAAAATGAGCTGGTCAATCCTCTCCACATGCATGGTACCTTAATTGCAATGTTATTATCCCAGCCAGAATTTTTACTCCCATGTCCTTTCTAAAATGCCATAACCATTTACTATTAATCTATTATTTGATGGACTGCATACCATGATGTTTGAGAAATTATTTTAAAAAGCTGAGGTTTCATCTCTTGCCATGCTTGTGTTCTAATATCATTTGTTAGATCCACTTATAATGTGATTCTACTAATATTGGCATTAATCTAGAAAAAAAATAAAAAATAAAAACATGTTAAGTATTCTGCGTGTTTTCTGCTAAGTTAGCGTTATAAATAATGTGGTTTGTCTATATTGGTCGATTATAAACTATTTATAGTGTTCCCCAGGTTCAAGAGGACGACTCTGTGATTATTATGACACATGAGCCCAATTGGCTTCATGATTGGTACTGGAATGATATCTCTGGTAAGAATGTCTCTCACTTAATACGTGATTATCTGAAGGGGAGGTGTAAGCTTCGAATGGCTGGGGACCTTCATCATTACATGCGCCATTCGGTTGTTTCATCAGATAAGCCTGTTTATGTACAGCATCTGCTTGTCAATGGTTGTGGTGGGGCTTTCTTACATCCTACTCATGTATTTAGCAACTTTAACAAATTCTGTGGAGCGTCCTATGAATGCAAAGCTGCATATCCTTCTTTTGAAGATTCTAGCAGGGTGAGTTTTTTTAGCTTTCCTCTTGGGACCTTAAATGAATTTATGCAAACTTTTCTGTAATGGAAGGTTTCGTAATTGGATTCAGTTCTAAGGTAATGCATTCTGTTTGTAAATTTGTATAGATTGCGCTGGGGAATATTTTGAAATTCCGCAAGAAAAACTGGCAATTTGACTTCATTGGTGGCATCATATACTTTCTATTAGTCTTTTCTATGTTCCCACAGGTGAGTTATATACATTTATACCAAGTTTCTAATTATTCATTTTTCTTGACTTGATGCTGCTTCCTAAGGTTTTATCCTTCATAGAAGAATTGTTCTCTTTTAGCTCCTTGGCTTTCTTTATCTTCTTCTAACCTATGATATAGTGGACCTCTCCCTATAAACCAGTGTTGCATGTACTCTCCTTAACGGATGAAGTGTCCTTGTGTCTGTGTTCAACATGCATCAGCATGGATTATTGAGGAATACTATCCTTTTCTCCTAGCTTCTAATGCATGCAATGAATGCCATTTTTCCCAGAAAATGCTGGTGACGGATACAACTTTTTGGACCTCTTTCTACAGCTATATAATGTTAAAATTTGGAAAATATGGGTCATCTTAATAGAATATACTTTTCTGTAGACATGTATACGAGTCCATGCTTTTTGGTCTTTTCAAGTCAGACTCTTCTATTTGCTTCCGATTTTTGCTCCCAAGTCCTTGTCCATGAAACATTGTTAAGCACATACCAACAAAGTGCTCTTCTTGACACAAATTGGGGCCTCACTGTGTCTGTCACCTTATTTCATGTCAAACCAGAACGCCTGTATCTGTTTATACCTATGTTACTCAGATACAGCAAAGACTTGGCATAGACAAGGTGCTGTACATATATTTTGCACTAAAGTCGATGCCCATTTTGAAGTATTCAGGTAAGGGAGGCTTCCACGGATCATGGTTTGTCAGCAAGAAATTAGTATTGCATACTTTACTCCTAAGATGTAGCCAACTGGATATAATTGACATTTTTTCTTTCTGCACTTTCCAGTGTAGGCTTGACCACATTTTGCAGGAGGATTCTTTTTCTGGTCACCTGAAGAGTTTCTTTAGGACAGTTTGGCAAGCATTTATGTACATGTTGGAACACTCATATGTGTCTTCAACAGGAACCCTGCTATTATTGTTGGTGGCATTTTTTTTTGTTCCATCAAAAATGTCAAGGAAGAAACGGGTTATAATTGGGATTCTTCATGTTTCTGCACACATGGCTGCAGCTCTCATTCTCATGTTGTTGTTGGAATTGGGTATTGAAACATGCATCCGCCATCGGCTCTTAGCAACTTCAGGTTTGTGTTGTGCTTGATTTTATGTATTTCTATGTGCTAATGTGTATCTTAATGTGTCACACTCTCTCTCTCATTAAGTGATAGTTGGATAAAAAACAAAAAGTTCTGTGTATTCCAAATATCAGATTATGAAAGGTAAAGAAAGCATAAAATGTAGGAAAAAGGAGAGCATCTAAATAAGAAGTATCACTTTGTCAGCATGGACTTTCAGGATGGAAATGCATTTTTATGAGAAACAATGTAAGATGATCACTTTTTTTCTGATCCATAAAAAAGAGATGTATTTTTCTGGAAAAGTAACCTCAGTATGAATATAATTATATTACCATTTGACTTGATAAATTGATATGCAGACTGATCTGGTGGGAGTACAATTTTCTGTTTTCATTTAAAATAGAAGAGTTCCCTAAATAATCTTCTTTCTTTCAGAAATTTGTAATTTTCAACTATTATAGATTCTAATACTCTTCTAATTGTAAGGTGCTAATGTCTGACAAGTTTGTTTCAGGATATCACACATTGTATGAATGGTACCGTTCAGTTGAGAGTGAGCACTTTCCAGACCCAACTGACCTCCGGGCTCGTATAGAACAATGGACATTTGGCCTTTACCCAGCATGTATAAAGTATTTGATGTCAGCATTTGATGTTCCAGAGGTGATAATTTAGAAATCCTCCTTTTGTTCCTGAAACTTTCTCATTGTATCCTATTAACCACACTAAATCCACTGGGAGAAACTTTCAGGTCATGGCTGTCACCAGGAGCACCATCTGCAAGCAGGGGATGGAATCACTGTCACGTGGGGGTGCCATCATCTACTATGCATCTGTTTTCCTTTATTTCTGGGTCTTCTCAACTCCTGTGGTCTCCTTAGTGTTTGGCAGCTATTTGTACATCTGCATTAATTGGCTCCACATTCACTTCGATGAAGCCTTCTCATCACTTCGAATTGCAAATTATAAGGCCTTCACCCGTTGCCACATCACACCTGAAGGTGACCTTGAAGTCTTCACTCTTGCAGTTGATAAGGTAATAATCTACCTAGCATACCTGGTGGTGACAATTAGTAAGAAAGCAAACTTAAAAGCGTCAAAAGGTTTGTGAGAATTCACTTTGCCCCAACCTCATAAACTAGGTGCCAGCACTGGAATTTTTTTATTTTTATTTTTTTGATAATAAGGGAAAGCAACACAAAACGAACCAAAACAAAATTACAACACAACGGGTGAAGAGAAACCCCAGGCATTACCTAGGCATAACAACAAAAAAATCGAGCCCCTTGAGCAAGAGTCTTCAAAATGGCTGGACTGGAATTTCGAATATAGCTTACTCGTCTTGATTTGCAGGTTCCTAAGGAATGGAAACTTGACCCTGACTGGGATCGAGAGCCAAAACAACCACAGAGCTATCTGAGGAAGTTCCCTAGCAAATGGTGTGCAGCTGCTTTGCCACAAGACCCAGTTTCTACTGTTAGAATTGTTGACCATTTTATTATTCAAAAAACAACTCCTGCGTCTCCTGTCTCGAAAACAAATTGATTAGCACTTATATTCGATCACTGTGTCATTCACATCTGTAACATCTTTGTAACTATTCATTCCTTAATAGTGAAAAGAGGTAAGTTCAGAGAACATAAGGGTTTCATAATTGAATATTTTGATGGATTAAAATAGAATACACCCAAAAACCCCAATCGATGTTCATGGAGGGTAGTATTATGGACAATTGGACACCTTGATTAGCCTATGTACCTAACGCCCAGAGGTACCTTTATTTTTCTGACCTCTTATTAATTATTTGTAGCCATTTGAATGGTTTAGATTTCATTTGGACACCAACCAAAGACATCTTTCACTAATTTTGTTAATTTGCCCAAGAAATAGGCAATCAAAATTGAATGAAAAAAAAAAAAGAAATTCAGCAAACAAAATGCCTAAGAGAGAAACAGAAGCTGAAACGTAGGAGCTTTAGGATTCACATCTAAGAAAAATAAAATATTGGTCATGTGTAGGGGTGTCAATTGGACTGGATTTGGTACAATCTGATCCAGTCCAATATGAGTTCAGGATAGATGGATCAGGTCCAATCCAATCTGATGAATACTCTAAACCATTTGACCATTCCAATTCAAATATCTGGACTGCCCAATCTCTGTTCATATTGGTTTTATTGTAGATTGGTTCCAACCCAAACCTGGTCCGTTGATACCTATATCCTTGTCTTCTATCAATGAATTGGATATTGGTTTAATCCAACCCAATCCAATATAAATCCATTATGGATGGATCAGGTCTAATCCAATCCAATAAATGCTTTGGACCATTAAAATTGTATAACTCCAATTCAATGTCTTATTGGTTCGTCCAATCAGTTCAAATTAATTCTGATTTGGACGAATCCAACGTAAATCCAGATCATTGACACCCCTAGTCATATTGCCTAGTGTTTTAAAAACCAATATGGAGGCCGAATCATTTTTGTCTCTAGGTTGTGGGTTACCATTTCGACCATCCAATATGTGTATAATATATATTTTAGCAATAAATAATGCTTTAGATATGTTATATGTATTATTATATATTTAATTTATATTTTTAATTCAATTTTTACTTTTTCTTATTTAAAAAAATATAAAAAAATTGCATATTAATGCCAAAAAAGGGGTTTTTCATGAAAATAGCAGGGCAAGGTGCCTATGGCCCCTTGAGATGCATAGATCCTGAAAAGTTATCCAAAATTAAAAAAAAATCACCCTAATTGAACATTGGAATACAAAGTTATGGCCTCCGAAAGTTTTACATGCATTGAGTGTGTAACCCGCGACCCGGTCATCAGGTTGAATTGGTCAATGGTTGAATCGGTCGTGTTGAACAATTCTTGACCAAGTTAACGGTTTTTGACCATCTGGCGGGTCTTGACTGAACCAGACTCAGAATCCTGATCGGGTGATGATTTGAACAGTTCGACCGACCAGGTCAATGGTGGGTTGAAAACATTGATATTACCTATCCAGGCTCATGAATATCTTTGCACCCACGCGGTGATGCCTATAATGTCCCACCATCTATCTAAAAGAAAGTTCCTATATATTGTTCATTTAGAGCTTTAGAGCTTAAAATTCATATCAAACGGAGTGAAAGTGACAAAATCATTAAAATGGAAACCTCTTTAGTTCTTGTTTGATGATTAAGTACTTGTTAAAAGAAGTACTTGCAAGCTACTTTCCCCATAAGTGCTTATATTGACACAAATGACAATTTTAGCCCTCACTTCACTCATACATATAAACAATGCTTTTCACATGTTATACTATACATGTCAACTAAGAGCCCACATGGATCTTCACGTGGGCTTCCATGTGGATTCAATAATAATAATAATAATAATAATTATTATTATTATTATTATTATTGTTATTATTGTTATTATTATTATTATTATTATTATTATTATTATTATTATTATTATTATTATAAGATAAACAAACAAAAATAGACATGGAACAAATATAAACCAACTAAAGCTATACATCGAACTTACGAACCAAACTGGCATTCAAAGAGGAACAAACAAAAAAATGGAAGGTAAAACAGATATGCACAAAAAATCTATTAATCAAAACAGAAACCCTAGAAACCTTAAAATCCCGTATGAAACCAAGTGAAGTGAACAAGGGTAAACTTCAAAATGTTAAACAAAACCAACTTACCGTCTTCTTCCTCATCATCTTCGTCAACTTCGCCCCTCTCTTCGTCATCAACTGCTTCTACATCCCCAACTTCCCTCTCGTCTTCCTCCTCTTTGACCTCCTCTGAAAAAATAAACAAAGAGAGAAATGAGGCAAACACGGGGAAAACAAATGAAATGAATCACCAAATTTAAAGAAAACAACAGATGAAAACACTCCGAAGATCTCTACCTTCGTCGTCGGACACCAAAGCTCTACCACCCATGTTTTACAAGAGAAAATCAGTCGAAAACCTAACCCTAGCTAACGGAGAGTGCTTAGAACCAATACGAAAACTTGCACAAAAACCAGAATAAAGAAAAAATTATATACTAGGGGGTAGAGAGAAAGGGAAAAAGATGGGTGGTTGGAGACAAAGTGGAGGGGCGAGATAGTGGGGGAGATGATAAACGGAAGATCGAGGGGAAGAAGATGATGAACAATGCTTTTTGGGCATGAGGGTATTTTAGGCATTATAAAAATTTATCAGGGACTGGGCATGAGGGTACTTCTTCCCCACTTTTTTACCAAACACCCATAAATATTTAAAAACCACTTAATGTGTGGTCCATGTCTTAAAATAAGTACTTGTTAAAAGAAGTACTTCTTTTAAGTGTTCTCAAACACTACCTTAATATAATTGAACAAAATCTTTCAATAAGACCAATAATTTAGACATGTAGTGGATCAAGTTCTTCATTGGTGGAATGTTTGTAAAAGAGATACTCAAGTGAATCAAATTAGTTGCATCACTCCGTCTATAATCCTTTGGACCATATGGAAAGAAAGAGTTCTTTCTTTCGTCTATAATCAAATTAGTTGCATCACTCCGTATATATGAAGGTAAGAGTTCTTCATCCTTATTACTTATAGAAAATATTAAGAAATGGTTGAGGGACATCAATGCTCTTACTAATGATCCTCTAAAAGCTTCAAAACGAAACAAATATAGATGGGTTAGTTAGAAATTTCCAAGTAATTTTGCTTACAAGATGAATGTGGATGGGACTTGTCGTGGCAATCCTAGTGAAAGAAGAGGTGGGGGTTTACTTAGAAACACTTTTGGTACTCTCATATTTGCTTTTCACTATTATTGTTAGTGTCGAGTATGTAGAGGTATTTCTGTCTTTGTGCTTGTGTTTAGGTGCTGATGTGTAAGTTTATGTTAGATTTAATGCCCCTAACTTAAGTAGGGGCATATGTGACTTTTTCATATTATTTTAGTAATATAAAATACATCTGGCCGAATGGGAGAGTGTGATTTTTCTCTCATTCGAACTAGAATATTTTCTCCTTGTTTATCGTTTGTTCTTCTCCTTTCTCTCTTTCTCTCCTCTCTTCTCTCTTTTTTCCTTGACTGTTATCAGTCTAATAGGCAGGCTGAACATTAACATGGCATCAGAGCCAAACTGAGCAAATTGGATCTACCCAGAATTTTGTTATTTGCGCACCCAACCTAGGGTTTTCTCTTGTTTTCTTTGCCATCAGCTAGAGATAAGGGAAAGGGCTGAAAAAGAGTGATCGCTCTCTTCCCTTGGAGGTTTCTATGCCTCCAGTTGTGGTGTTTGTGGTCGGTTGCGGCAGTTTCTAAGAAGCCCTCCCCTAATTGATGAAGAGAAGATGGCTGATTTGTGTGGTGCAATGGGTGTCTTGTGTGGTATGATTTTCGGGTGATCAAGTAAGAGGTTTTATGCATTTTTTCTTGGTGTGAATCAAATGAGAAGTCTATTTCAGACTGTATGGTGGGATTTCATATTATAGTGCTAGGGTTTGTTCACCCTTTAGTGTGATTCGAAGGGGGGGTGGTCCTCAAACAGTACTATGAAGTTTCAAGCAGTCGTGGAGTTGGATTTGTGGTGTAAAGAGTGCAATTTGCAGTAATAGTAAGTGCTGAAATCAGTGTGTAGTGTGATATAGTGTGCAATTTTCCGAATTTAGTAATATCAGAATTCAGCAATGGGGACAGCAGTGATAGCAAGACTAGTGTGGTGGTCCCTACTAACTACTTGAATGTTCAAATGACCTCCATTAAGCTGAATGGAGAAAATTATGTACCTTGGGCCAAACCTGTAGAAGTCTTTCTTAAGGCAAAGAAGAAGGTGAAGCACATAAGGGACGAAAAACCTTCCACCGATTCTCATGAGTATGATGATTGGGAGCAGGCAGATGCACAAATCATCACATGGTTATGGAATAGTATGAAACCCAAGATTAGTTTAAATTTCATGTTTCTTGATACTGCCAAAGAAGTGTGGGACCATGCTAAGAAGTTGTATTCGGGTCAAGAAAACACAACCAGAGTATATTAGTTGTACCACGAATAGTTTAATCTACAACAAGGTAATCAAAGTCTTGAGGAGTACTATGCTAGCATGAGAAACATTCGTAATGAATTGAATGTTTATCACCCCTCACTTCTAATGTCAAAATTCAGCAACAACAGAGAGAACAACTTGATGTGACTCGGTTTTTGGTGGGGCTGAAATCTGAATATTAACCAATGCGGGCTTAGGTACTAGGAGGGTCAGCTCTTTCTTCCTTAGAAGAGGTGTTTGCTCAACCTAGGAGGATTTCCATTGGATCTACCGAAAACCCAAATATTTTCGATAAATTAGTCCTAGCAGTATCCAGAGGCCGTGGTGTTAGAGGTGGAGCTCGAGGAGCTCAGTCTGGAAATAGTGGTAGTAGTGGACCGGCATATGGCTGAAGTGGTGGTAGTGGTCCTACATATAACCATGGTGGTGATCGTATTGGAGGTCGAGGAGGTGTACACACTATGGTATGGATGGACATACCATTAATTATTGCTATGACTTGCATGGTCCACCTTCAACTTGGGCCAATCATGCCATGACTAGTGACAATAGCTTCAGACAGGAGAGCCATTCAGCCAATCAGGTACCTCATACATCCATAGATGTTACT